ATTAAATATCGATAAAATGTGTAGTCATCTATTTGATATAAATACTGGCGGACGCACATGCAAAAGTTAGCCATTAAATTAATATTTTTACTTGCAGTGTTAATGAGTAAACGCAGAAGTGTTTTGTTTTCAGTAGAAGTGTTTCGTAGAAAACTCTGCTGGTTTAAAACTTGCAGATAAAATATGAATTCTAAGTTTGGCATAAACATGTATTCGACCACCTTGATTTTTCTGAACTTAAAATCGCTTCGTTATGACAGGTTTGATAATATTTTTAGGCTCCTGATTTTAGACTTAAAGTAGAGCAAGTACCTAAAAGTTACTTATTTACTTACCATAACACCAATATATGAGGACTCTATCGATGAGGCCAGAAGCACCATTTGCTCATTTTTCATCAGAGCTTCATAGGCGGCTTCAATCGAGCTAACAGTAGAGAAGGCATGCGAAGAGTTCTTCAGGGAGGAAGCAATTACGTCAGAGGCGATACCGTCTTTGAGAATGATAAGGCTGGAACAGAAACACGAAACCAAAGATTGGTAATGACGTGAGTTTATTTAACATCATTTTGCCACGAATGCGTTCCACGTTGAGTACACCGAGAATCACACACGAAGGTGTTTCCTGTACACCAACCACCTTACTGCACCAGATTCCGCACACGCCTCACAGGCGTCTCATTCACTGCTTCCTGCCGATTGTGCTTATTGCAATCGCTGCCCTCTTCGACGTGCTCAATCCAGTCGTAACTGGCTTTTTCATAGGGCATGGCACCGTCAGAGCCTGTGTTCCAACGCTTGTCTTACTATCCCATTTCGTGAGAAACACGGTGTTGGTTGAGATGCAGATGGTGCCATTTACAACGACTGGCCAAAAGTAACTAGTTTTGAGTCAGTAGGCTTGGTCTAACTAAGTAATTCTACTGGCCTGTTTTGGCATATTTGACTACTTTAACTGTCAAAAAAACTTGTTTAAGTGAAATGAAGAAACAATATTTCTAAAATTTGTTGATTTCCCAGTGAATTTGCAAACAATGCCATTTAAGCATCAGCATTGTAACTAGCGTAAGCCTTGCACTATCGCACAACCTATAACACAGACTTAGAAAAGTAAAAATGCCATGTAATAAGTCAGGTCATTCGATGGCTCAGTTTCACACGGTATACTCTCTTTGGGATTAGCGCAGTCACAACCACGATTTTCATCGAATTAAAAAATATTAAATGTCAATATGGAACAGGTTTGAATGCTTTGAAAATGGGCCAGATTTAGAAAATTCAGCAGTTGATATAGCCATCTTTGTCCAGCAAGACCTTTTATAATGGCATGAATCCATTGGATTATGGCAACGCTTTTATTCTCTGTTTCATAGGCCTTATTGAACCAGATGCTCCGTGAAAAAATTCAAGTGATCCTTTTTTCGATTGTAAGGATTTATATACTTAAATTTATCTTATGAACTTTTTCTTGCTTTTACACAATTTCTCTTTTATTTGTCGATTAGTTCGTATCACTTATAATAGTGCTTCGGTGGCAAGCAAAATTTTTTGTACTGATTCGTTAGTGTGCCGTGTACTAAAGCTACTGTAGATCCAAATTTGGGAATTTAATTCAAGATTTGATGTGGAGAGTGACTACTCAGGAGCCGTGAGCATGTAGGATCCAACATTCAAGTACAAACATGCCTTCGATGAGCATGAGCATATTTGCGCATTTTGACGCATTTAATGCCAATTTATTGAGAAGTCTGAAAAAAAGCGCTGTTGAAAATAAGTATATTTGTAGCAAAACATTGTGGCTTTGAGATACTGGTTGGAAAATTGCATTTAATAGTTGCTCCAAATTTGAAATTCACTCACGAATTTCCAACCTACTGGATATGTCAAATAACTCAATCACAAGCACAGGGGGAAGTAATGTACCTGAGCTGACCTAGACTTTCTAGTTGTTGCATTACGAGGTAATATTGTGAAAATACCAGAATCGAAGTATCGAGTCCATTTAATCTAGTTATGCGGGGTTACAGATTTATAGTATAAAAAGGACAGGACACACGACACTTGACAGCCAATTTCATTAAATTTCCATACCTTAAAACGACTCCTAAATTACCCTAGCGTTCATTTTATCCTTTCCTTAACGTCACACATCACATTCGTCCTTTTCAAGGGTAACAAAGTCATACTTGACGTTCATATAAGTATATCAAGATCAGATGCGTGCTCTGACAAAGAGCTATTAACGCCGTCAATTCCAAATAATCCGCCAAAAGTTTAATCAAAATGCATTGGGATAAACTGTTGCTTTTGGTGGTAATCAGCAGTCTTATGGTTTCAGCTCTATGCAGCCTTTACTTATTTCTAGTCTGTGGTTTATTTTAATATCGGCTGCTTTAGACTTAATTCACTGGAAGAGCTTGAATATAAGGCCTGTGTATGACATAATCCTTGTGAGTGAAACCGCGCTATACCTAAGCAGACTGAAGTTAAAGCGTCCCCTTTTTGATTTGTCACAAGAACTCATAAATTTACTCTTCTGACCCTGAAGATATCGATTTTTCCTTCTTACTCTTTGCTGATCTTTTTCTACATAGGACCATAACTGCTCCATATTTACCAAATACCTAAACACAGGTGCCTCGCTGATAACCTTTGCCCTCAGCGCAAACTACGCTCCAGAAACACCCCTCCCGTTTATTCCCCTTAACTGGCGTTCCGCAGCTCTCTACCTAGACGGTCTCACCTACATAACAGAGAATGCAACTGAAGTGGTATGTTTCTTTGCGTAAGGAGTGTAATGCGAACAACTGCAATTCTCTCACACGAACAAAACACCCCCTTTAACTGCGGATTTAAGTAAACCAAGTTTCACTTTGTACATCATTTGATTATTTGTCCACCACAACGAACCCCCCTTTAATCATTTATGTCCAAGACAATTAAGGCCGCCAAACTTTTCTATATTGTAGGTATAAATGTAGGTCTGTGTAGGTTTGTGATGAATGTTAGCACCAACGTTTTTTCTAGTGCTGCAATGCCATACCTCCTTTTTCTAATTTCTCTCACTAATTGAATTTCTGTTTTCTGTTTAACAGCCTAACGCTTACATTCTCTCCCGGATTAACTTCAGCAAAACTATGCCAACAGCGAGTCCTGTGGAGTCTGTAGCCATTCTTGACTGTTCCAAGAATACTAAAACAGGAGTAATTTCTTCTTTAAACATTGAACATTTTACTTAACTGCATCAAATCTCTTTTTATTCCTTTATATCTGTTTTTTCTAGATTGGAAGTTGGCAGTTGAACAGATTTCCTCATCTGAAAGTGGAGAATATCAATAGAACCTTAACAGGCCGCTCAATCAATGCTGGGCTTATTAAGGTACATGAGCCAATTTCAAACTCAATTTGTCTCATGAATAAAAATTGCCTTCAGAAGTTAAACGAACTATGATCTTGGCGATTCTCGTTTAACTGGGACTAAAGCAACTTAGGATAGACGGTGATCCTCTGTATATTACGGTAATCCCAACATGATTAAATCCATAAAAACGAAACCCCCGATTTAATCACGGATCAGCCGCTTTAATTTTATGCTTTTTGTTAGTTGATTCGTGTACTTTTTCCAAAATCAAACATGGACCTAGTAGTTATCTAGCCAACTACTGTTTCTAAAGGCCATTGTTTGCATTTTCTTGTGGATTGGGTGGCATACGTAACCCTGGCAAAAATACGTGCCTATCTGTAGCTGATTAACAGCGATCATGCCTGAGAGAACCCTGATTACTGACCTGACGGTAACAATGACTCATCCCCTTTGCATTGGTTACTGTTATCAGAAGCCTGTCATCCGTTCACTCATTCACACACTACGACACACTTGGCTGGCGAGACGCCAATAAGCGGCAGTGTCCTCTGTCGCCTCTCTTCACTCCATTCTCGGGTTGTTACGGGATTGCCAGAGATCGACGAGGTAGCCCAAGCCACTAGCCGACCTCTTCTTAGCCTTAGCACGTGACTTGCCTCCTTTGCCTCTTCCACTCATTGTGCTGCATTGTCCATACTGGAGCAGCTTGCCAAGACATTGAAATTGGAGTGGACCACAATTAGTACACAAATTTGCAAAACTTGAGAGATTGTGTAATCACAGGTCTCCAATTTAAGAACTTACATGGATTAGAGTCTTTTAGCCGTCCAAATACATAAGCATAGATCATACAACGATTTCAAAAGTTCGTTTTAATCTTTCGATTTTAGTATGCACCCTTTTACGGCAACACGACAGGATATTCACTTCCTGTGATGACAACACTCGCCTTCAGTGCGAAAATCTCCTTCAATATCACGTATTTCACGCCAACTCCGAATGAGCCATATTACGAGCAAATGCTGCGGGCCATTGAAAATGAGGTGAACATTTTTTCTACTACTGGCATTTTTTAGGGCCGGTTTGTTTTTTCACTCTGTTGATGCGCAGATTTACCGCATCACCCAGTCTTTAAATCTGGAGAATGCCTGCTTATTAGTCTGCCGGTCGAAAAATGTAAAGTAGACATACTTTAAATCGACATTCTTGAATGCCTATCTGGTTGCTTTTATTCTCTACCAAAATTAAATAAGTAGGATGACAAAATTTGATATCAGGACATTTGGACAAGGTTATTCCTTCAGATTTAGCAAGTTTGGTTCTATGCACATGCATAAGATAACAATATTTAGTGTGGAACAAACTTCCATATACCTGCGCAGCTGCATTGAAAAAAAGCATATCAATTTTGGTCACCCTCAAGCTTAACATTAGATTAGGCAGCTATTACAAATTTAGAGCTTTTGGGTATAAGGTTACTTTGCATAATGATCTCGTTGAAAGCATGCTGCATCATGCAAACTGGGCATTTCATCCACGTCAAATACAATTTCACATTAGCCAATAAATATTCAAACAAAATAAGTGCTTTTTATTAATGCATTCAGGAGATAAATCTGGGTTTAGTACCTGTTCCAATGTCGGCGTTAAATATGAGGAAGGTCACTGGTTCGTTGGCGACGACCGCAGTGACCTTCAGTCTTGTGCGTCAGCGTCCTTCTCGACCTCCGGACTTCCTTCTCCTGCTGCGTCCCCTCTCACTTCCTGTGTGGCTGGCGAGCGTTGTCTTAGCTGCAATATTTACTGCTATTCTCATGGTATTTGGACATCTAAAGCCCGTTATTCTACGCCACATTGCTGAGGACGAAATAACTTCAAAACGCGACCTCTTTGATGTTTCGGCACTTGGCGTGGCCTCCACTTTTACACTCACAAAACTACAGATCATTCCCACAACATTATCAAGTAGAGTGTTCGCTCTCACAATGTGGATGTTCTCCTACCTCCTCCTCGTTGTCTACGCCAGCGCCATGATGACCATCCTACTGAGAGTTCATAAACCGTCCAGCGCAGACACCTCGGCAGAAGAGGTTCTCAAGCACACCACTGAAAACACGTAGGCTTTAACACTTTAAGCACTTAACATTAGTGATACTTTTAGAAAACTTCCAGCGAATCGGTTTTAATAGCCAATTTAACATCATCAAGCATTTCTGTAGCGAAACGCTACTTCTCGTTTTGAGATGCCGAACAACATATTCACATTTGAATTTACGACTGGAATTTTCCTCAACCGTCAAAGGCAGCTTAATAAGTAAATTAAAGGGTAATGAACCCTCGTCATTTCGTAGCGTCCAATTTCTTGTCTGGTTTCTTATTAGTTAAATTAAATCAAAACAAATCAGGTTTGTTAGGGATGATTCTTTCTTCTTTCATCACTTGGTCTCGTCACTGGGATTTTACTGCACCTGCAAATCCCTATATCCTAGACATTATATGGCACCACTGTTTATCTGGTAAACGAGGCTACGTGCTCTGATGACGTGGAAGGAGGCAATCAGAAGGAGGCCAACCATTTACGGTGACAAGAGGTAGTCTGTTAAATGCCCCGATGCGGGACTTGCACACACACTGAGGCAACTAAATTATCGCTCTGGTCTTTGCTTGATCTGACAACGAGTAGCTAGATAAGAAACATTAGACTGAATGCGACTGAAATTGTACGGTTACGAACATCATATGTAAGCGACAAGATGAATTGAGACTTAGTAAGTTATGACAAGACAATCACAAAGTAGAGAAATTACTGGTCTGGCAGAATAACTGTTATGCAAGCCTAAGTGCCGATTTTTGATTTGATGGGAACACTCAGAACTTTGTGGACTTCATGATGTTTGTGGCAGTTGAAGTAGTCAAAAATGCCAAAACAGGCCAGTAGAATTATTTAGTTAGACCGGGCCTACTGACTCAAAACTAGTTACGGTTGGCCACTCGTAAATGGCACCATCTGCATCTCAACCAACACCGTGTTTCTCACGACATGTGATAGTAAGAGAAGCGTTGGAACACAGGCTCTGACGGTGCCATGCCCTATGAAAAAGCCAGTTACGACTGGATTGAGCACGTCGAAGAGGG